TGTGCATCGGCTGCCTACTTTTAAATTCTTTCCAATGGTTAATGCTTCAGAGGCTAGATTTGCCAACTCATCCGCCAATGATGCGTAAGTGCAATTGATTTTGTAATGCAGCTTCCATTAAATATATACTTGTTTGTCTCTGATATAAGATATTGCGTTGTGCTTGCAGATTGCTGTGTCTGCAAGGAACACTCGATCCAGAAAAGGTGAAGGGTAAAATCCTGGTCTGCCAGAGGGGCGGAATTGAAAGATTAGAGAAGGGGGTGAACGCAGCTAATGCCGGTGCCGTTGGAATGATTCTATACAATGATTATTCCACTGGTAACGAACTTGTTGCTGACCTTCATGTCCTTCCAGCAACACATATCACATATAAGGATGGTCTTAAACTCTCTGCATACCTTAATTCTACTGCGTAAGTATCTTTCTTCCCCCTGGTCAAATAGAAGCCTCCAACCTATGTTTTTGGTTCTGTTCTAAAAATGTTGTCATGATTTGGACTGTTATACAGTAATCCACTTGGGTTTATTACACCCCTAGAGGTATTCATTGGTAAGAAGCCTGCTCCAGTCATGGCCGGATTCTCCTCGAGAGGACCAAATGTTCTTACACCAGAGATCCTTAAGGTTTGATCTTAGAATTCAATGTTTTTTGGAATGATGTTTTTATAGCCTGACAGTTCCATCTTCTTTTTTTTTTTCTGAACTATTTGTGCTTGTTCTGTGGCCAATTAGCCTGATATTACAGCACCTGGGGTGGATATCATAGCAGCATATAGCGAAGGTTTTTCAGAAGATGGTCAGAAGGTCCCTTATAACATGTTATCCGGAACGTCAATGTCTTGTCCTCATGTGTCTGGAGTGGCTGGGCTCATCAAGGCAGCTCATCCCGAATGGAGTCCAGCCGCAGTGAGATCTGCCATCATGACCACAGCCAGAACATGGGACAATACTGGATTCCCAATACTGGATTATAATGAATCTGAGAAGTCATCTCCATTCAATCATGGTGCTGGACATATCAGTCCAAACAAAGCTCAAAATCCAGGTTTGGTCTATGACTTGACAACCAATGATTACTTGGACTTCCTCTGTGCCATTGGTTACAATGAGACAATTGTTCAGTCTTTCTCTGAAACTCCATACAAATGCCCCAAATCGGCCAGTCTTCTGAACTTCAACTACCCTTCAATAGTGGTTCCCCATCTCAACGGTACTACCACAGTCACCAGAAAGTTGAAGAATGTTGGTGCCCCAGGCATTTATGTTGCTCTTGTTCGTGAACCACTTGGTATTTCTGTTACTGTGGAGCCTAAATTTTTGAGCTTTGTAAAGATGGGTGAGGAGAAGAGCTTCAAGATGACTCTAACAGGTGTAGCTGAAAAACATGTCTTTGGTGACCTTACTTGGAGAAACCGCAGGCAGTTCGTCAGGAGTCCAATTGTTGTTACTGCAGCCAACAGCCGTTAACTTGTTTAGGAATTTCTTAGCTTAGGTAATCATTCCATTTATTTACTCTACTTTTACCATCATTAGCCTCCAGTTAGTTTAATTTGATTATTATGTAGGGTAACATTTACGTTACATATAAGGGGGATGTTTAATTGAAGCCAGAGATTAATACTTCGATGAAAATTTAATCCTTCTTTTACTTAAACTTTTGTTTATGTTTATTTCTAGACAAAATGTGCAAATCTCTCCTCAATACTTTTTAGTTCCTAACAAATAATTGAAGTAAATTAACACCATAATAAAAAGATCTAAATAAATTGTCACCTAAATTTTCTTTAAAAAAAATTGATTCAAATTTAATAATCAAGGTCGATTTTTTTAACAAACTTTAAAAGTAATAATTTAATAAAAAAAAATTGTGTTGTTAAATTTGAATCAATTTTTTTAAAAGTAAAATTTTAAAATAATAATTTACTTCAATTTTTTCTTTAGATGCTAAATTTTTAACTCAGTTATTAACGGACAATTTGTACCTTATGCCCCCTTTTTTTTTTTTTACTTTATAAAGAGAATGAATCTCTTTGAAAGAGAGCATACCTTCACCACAAGGTTGGGCAGCGGGCCAGGGTATGGGACAAACCAGGATTCCGAGCAATAATAGAGAGGAGATGATCAACGGATATTTGTGCAACAGAAAAGCGTTAGGGTTTGGTCAGAAACTATAGTTTGTCTCTAACTTGGCACTCAAACGCTCAGCGTAAGATACATATCATGGAAGAAATCCGTAGGGGGGTGGGGGTGAATGTGGAGCTGGAGAAAGAAGATGAATCTGAGATCTAGAGAGAGGTGAGAAAAGTGAGTGAACGAGGGAGAATGAGTAGAAAAGATATCTAATAACTATCTTCAAATAGTTTTTTAAGTTGCTTTTAAGTTTTTGATTATCTAATAAAAGTATGTTGTTTATTCATTTGTCAAGTATTCTTTAAATAAAACTATTAATAAGAATAATTAATATGATTTTTAAATTTAAATTAGAGTTAAATTTTTATATAATTGATCAAATTAAATTGATTAGTTTAAATTAGTGTCTTTGTATAACATGACCTAAGTTAAGTTAATTCCCAAAATAACAGCTGACAATGTTCAGCTACCATTCAACATAAAAGGAATGATTAATATTTGTCTTTGTATCCTAAAATGAATGATTACATCCCGAATGCTTTTGTTATCTTGACAAAACCGCAAAGATTGAGGAATAAAAAGCAGTCAAGTGATGATCATGTGGGCACCGATTTGGCTCGTAATTACACCCAAAAGAACTCATTATTCTATATATTGATGCATTGCAATTAAAATTGTTCCCATGAAACTTTGAAGAAAAGGTCAAGTGTGAAAAGAGAGAGAAAAAGGAGAGGCTTTTGTGATAAAGGAATCCACCAATAAGGTCAGCAGTAGGAGAATTGGCGATAATGTTGCCGACTGAATCCCTCTTAATTTCTACAAAGAAAGATATGTAGGGAATATCTAATCTGCTTGCCCTCGACGTGGCCTTAGCACTCATGAACTTATCCAACTGGAATGGAATCCGGTTCTCCATCACAAGTGAAGATGTTCCATGTCGAATTCACCTACCATTTTTTGATGATTTCACATTACAATGTCTCTGCAATGAAAAAGACATGTTGCTTATTTTACAAGTATGTTGTAATGCAGTTCATGATAACAACCTATGTCTAAATCTTGCACAATTTGGACTTCTCTTGATTTGGTATTGAGAAATTGGAAAGAGCCAGGCGGACAGGCTTGTTCATCCCCATGTGAAAGTCGGTTAGCAAGTTCAATCAAGACTAGACGAAATAGCATGTGTTTGCTTTGGAATTTTACAGGTTATCATGGATTATTTTTATTAAATAATAATTGATACATATTTTATTTTAATATATTTATTAAAAAATTATTATTTTAATTTAAAATTTAAAATTAATAAATTAATATCAATAATCAAAATAACTTAATGATCATCTCATTTTTATTAGAAATAATAAGTTTTGAAATCGAGCCACAAGGTATGTGAATGAAATAAGATAAGAGATGAAACATGATTATTTTTTATTATGTAATTAATATAAAAAATAATCAATTAATAAATATAATTACACATATAAAATTTAAAAATTAATTAAATCAATTATATTTATATTATATTTTTAATAATTAAACTAAACAAAAATTAAAAAATATTTTGCACTTAAGTTTTTTATTTAGTAACATTAGATCACGTATAAGTGCATTCTCCCGCCGAAGACAACTCTTCGAATTCGACTTATTACGAATTTGTTAAAAAATAAAAAATAAAAAATATTCCAAACTAAGAGTATCAATTATTTTTCATTTATATTTTATTGCTTGTAATCTCATATTCTATGTCCTTTTTGACTCTTTTGGTCACCTTTCATTTTCATTTGACAGGTGCCATGGGCATGGATATTACCGAGGAATAATCTTTTCTACAGATTTCAGAAAGGATTCCACACCAGGACCAATTAACATTTTACAGCATTTCGGTCATCTGCACATAAAAAAAAAAAATCAAATTAATCGAGTCATTTGCGTATAAAAAAATATAGATCAAATTAATCAAGTTGTCAGTTGGGTTAAAGATTAATTCTATTAAGAAAATTTTTATGAAGAGTAATTAATAAAGTATTGTGCAGAAGGGTGGAAAATACTTAAAAGGTCACGTAAAGGATGTTGGAAAAATACTTAAAGTAAAAGAAGTTGTGGAAAAACGTTAAAGAAAATTTTATTAATTAAAAAAAATAAAAACTAAAAATATAAATATTACCGCTATTTTTGTTATAATTTTAAAGAATAAAAATGCCTAAATAACCTTAGACTCCAAGTTAAAAAAAAAAAAAAAAGCTATGAAAAACTTTCCTCTCAACCAAACCCCTAATCTAAGTTAAGAAAGAATGTAAGGAGATTTTAACAATTAAAAATTAATATACTAATAATAATATTAATTTATTAAAAAATTAAAAAGAAAAAAATTGAAATCCAACCTTTAAATTGAAGATACACTTATAACATAGTTTATAACCATCAAATTAAAAAAATTAAGTGCATCTTAATAAATGATGTATAATTAAGATATTTTGAATAAATTAATACAATAAAATATCTTAATTTTCACTTTTAGAATTTAAGTTAAATTCTGGTTATATCTATTACTGGGCGGAGCAGCTTCTCCTTTACTCTTCTAGCAGTTACATACATTATTGCTAGCTGGTGGTTGAGTGAGGGTTCCCTGTCTCAGTCCCCCATCCACCCATACCATTCAACCCTTTCTTTTGCTTCTGCATCCCACTGCAAACCAAATGAGGAATGCCTGATTCTTTCAAAGGAGAAAAATGGCAGCCCCACCAGCAAGATTCACAGTAACATTGCTCCTTTTTGTGATGATGGTGGTTTCAGGGTCAGTTTGGGTGGCAGAATCAGCAATAGGGGTGAACTGGGGGACAATTCAGCTCCACAGGCTCAAGCCCTCAACCGTGGTGGATCTGTTGAAGGAGAACAAGATTCAAAAAGTAAAGCTTTTTGATGCAGACCCACAAGTCCTTAGAGCTCTAATGCGGAGTGGGATTGAGGTCATGGTTGGGATCCCAAATGAGATGTTGGCTATGCTTAGCTCTTCAACTGCAGTTGCAGATCTGTGGGTTCGCCAGAATGTCACCGCTTACATTGGCAAAGGTGGCGTTAATATCAGGTGACTGTTTCCTCTCTTATTTCCCCTATTCTTTTCTATCTAGATTTCTTTTCTTTTTTTTTTTCCCCTTGTTTCATCAATATCAATGCTTCCCTTTCCTTTTTATTTTTGCTGTTCTTTAGTTTCTTTGTTTAGAAAAGTGGCAAAAGGAAGTAACTTTTTGTATCTATTGTTTGATTTTGTTCGTTGCTACACCATGAACGTACAAATATGCTAGATATTGCAAAATCATGTCTTAGCTTTCACTTAGTTGCAGGTTGAATTATTATTAGCTCCTATATTGTTAATGTTCTTTGTTACTTCCTAGCGTTTTCAGTGAAGAAAAATGATGGAGAGATTACAATTCCATTCCATTAGGGGGTATATTATGGAAGTGATTAAGGCCACACATGAAATTGTTGGAGCAACGCAAATTTTTTTCTTTCTTTTTTGTAAATAGACAGTTGTGGTATTTGAAAATATTAGTCTGTCTATTAAGTAATAAATATCAGCTATTTTGTTATTTATCAACGAACAGCTACAGTTATTAGCTATGTCTTGCAGTCAAACTAAATAGAGTCAGTATTTTAAAAGACAAAATTCAAAAGTTTGTGTGACCTCAACAATTTGTTGGGTGGCCATAACCATTCCCATATATTATGTATAGGTTGCAAATAAATTTTAGGAAATATGACAAAAAGTTGACAAATTTAAGGAAGTAAGAGAAATTCTGTAGGGAAGTGAAGCGAATCTATTCTTCAACAATATGAATCTTGGTGTAATTCATTTTGGAAAGCTGATTAATTTATGAGAGCACTGGCACTGGATGTATGCTTGTTTGTAATGTTGTGAAACTGAGAAATTCTCATAATGCATGCATGGTTCAAAACTTTATAGAATGAATTGGAAATTTTGTCTTAGCTATTTGACCACCTTCAAGTACCGTGTAGGTAATGCATAGAAAGTTGACTGCAAATTTCTTGACCTTTGAAGGACTGAATAGTTAAGTGCTCTCCAAGTTTTAACTGCAAGTTTGCAAGAAGTTTGGTTTTTTAGGTTTTTCATTTTTCTTTTTTCTTTTTTTTTTTTTTTGTGGGTTGAGAAAATTGATCATAGATCTTGTATTAAATGAAAGAGAAAAAGCAATTACGATATATCTTTACCTCACTCAGAGGCACCTAACAGTATAATTCTCATGTGCTATGATGAGTATGTCCTCTAAAGTACAAAGTAGCCCCAACAATAGAGCAAACTAGAAAAAATAGCTAAACAAATATATGTGAGTACCTAGCTACCCCTTGCCTCTTGGGCATTAGTTACACTGCCATAGCACACTCGACACTATAGCAACTTGTGGCCAAATAGTAAACCTTTAGCTTGAAGTCATTGTACCCCAAACATCTCTTGGAAACAGATTCATGAACCATCTTTGACATCCCTCCAAAGCCAAGTTTGCAATAATTTAATTATCCTTTCTTATGAATTTCTAATAGGCTTATGCTGCTGCGCTCTGCCTTACTTCCCCAGCAATTAGTTTAATTGTCTGTGGGCTGTGGCCCCATGGGTTGCTATGCCAGATTTCATATGCCATTCTTCATAGCAAGCTGGTGTCACAGCTACTCTTTCTAGGAATCTAGGACATAGACAAGTTCACATCATGGTATTTAGAAATTTTCCCAACTTTAATAAGTTGCTTCATTAGTATATCATTGATCAAAGCTTTTAACTATATCTACAATTGAAATGAGAGTAATGGTGAGTTCTACATGATATCCTTGCTAGAATGCTTCTGTACCTTTCAAATTATTTTCATACACTTTGATAGCAAAGACATTAGGTACTCTAACTTAGAACAATGATGAGCATCAAGCTGAAATTTTTGCATCTAGCTATACGCATTGCTAGTAGAAGTGTCTTCTCTTCCCCCCATATGGGGAGTGAAAACATTTAAATTTGTTCTGTATTTCAAGAATAATTATGTGCTATTGTTGCACGTGTAATTTCTGAAGTTGCAGATTTTCTAGAGGTCATTTAATTCTTGATGCAATGACAGGTATGTTGCCGTGGGAAATGAACCCTTCCTTACAAGTTACTCAGGTCAATTTCAGTCATATGTTGTTCCTGCTCTGCTTAATGTGCAGCAGTCTTTGGCCAAAGCAAATCTTGCAGGATATGTGAAGTTAGTGGTTCCTTGTAATGCTGATGCCTATGAGTCTGACGTTCCTTCCCAAGGGGCATTTCGACCTGAACTAACTCAGATTATGACTCAGCTTGTTTCATTCCTTAACTCAAATGGTTCCCCATTTGTAGTTAACATCTATCCATTTCTAAGCCTCTATGGGAACTCAGATTTTCCACAAGACTATGCATTCTTTGAGGGCTCTACACATCCTGTGATAGATGGGCCCAATACTTACTACAACGCATTTGATGGAAACTTTGACACCTTAGTCGCTGCTCTCAGCAAAATTGGATATGGCCAGATGCCCATAGTCATTGGGGAGGTTGGTTGGCCCACAGATGGAGCATTTGGTGCAAATCTCACAGCTGCCAGAGTTTTCAACCAAGGTCTCATAAATCATGTGCTAAGTAACAAAGGAACCCCACTTAGGCCTGGAATTCCACCAATGGATATCTACCTTTTCAGTCTACTAGATGAAGAAGCAAAGGACATACTTCCTGGAAACTTTGAAAGGCATTGGGGGATTTTCTCTTTTGATGGCCAGGCTAAATATGCACTGGACCTTGGTCTTGGTAACAGGAGGCTGAAGAATGCCAAGAATGTTCAGTATCTACCAGCCAGATGGTGTGTTGCAAATCCATCAACAGATCTTTCTAGTGTTGTGAATCACATGAAACTTGCCTGCAACATTGCAGATTGCACAACACTCTCCTATGGTGGATCATGCAATGGAATTGGGGCAAAGGGAAACATCTCATATGCATTCAATAGTTACTATCAGCTGCAAATGCAGGATGCACAAAGTTGTGACTTTGATGGGCTTGGAATGGTTACTTTCATAGATCCTTCCATCGGTGACTGTAGGTTTCTTGTTGGTGTCACGGATACTAGTAGCTCTTCTGCGTTTGGACTATATCAGAGGTGGGTCATTATTTGGGTTTGGATTTTTGTGTGGTTCTTTAGGATGTGAGAAACAGGTTTCATGGGGGGATTTTAATGCTTCCCTCCTCTGAAACTATTATAGACTTAGATACAGAGCCAACAGGGGGCTAGAATAGTAGAGTTACAGTGTAGGATTGTATTATATCATGTATGAAAGATAAGCCACCAAATGTTAAATTAAATTATCCCAATCTTTGTCTTTAATTTCTAGGATTACAGGGTTTTCTTCTTAATACAGAATATCATGTTCGATGTGAATATCCTTGCTTAGACATCAAACTAGAAGAAACAAACATTATTCCTGAATTCAGAAGGTGAAATATTTCAAGACAAATAAACATAAAGGATATCCTGGACTAAGAAGAAGAACAGGGAAACTGCTAAAGTCTCTGCTTTTCTTAGAGCTGCTCAGAGTTAGAGATTGCAGCAACCGTCACTGCAGCAGGCTTTCCCACATCGGATCTGTGGCTTCCAAATAAAGTAGCAGCAGCGACAGCCTGCAACTAACTTCGGCCATTTAAACAAGCTGAAGCAGTCTCAAAAATGGAAAAGAACTGGATGAACATTATGGATCAAGAAGGGGACTTTACCCTGTGGATAAACCATATTCTCAGATGCCTGCACACGCGCATTTACGCAGATAATAAAGGATGCCACCACCAGGAGCCATGCCAAAGCAAGCAACATTGTTTCTTTTCAACCCATTTTTCCGAGTCTGAGCTTGAGTATCCAATTAGCATAATAGCCCTTGCTCCCTTGGATCCTATTTATAAGCAGTTTGTAGTTCTTTGTGCTTTTCAAAATAAATATAGATCAACTTGATTCACTGTCACTGGGGCATGAGCTAGTCATTTATCTTGACATGCATAGACTTTGGCATCTTTATGCGACTCTGGTTGTCAATATTGACTTAGCCTCACCTCATTTTTTTGAATATAATTCCTTTTTCTCTCTTGTATGAACAGATAAACATTATCTTCTGCATACTGGCTTCCAATCACGGGAAGAGCCATGGGAAAGGAATAGAGTAAAAGGGGCATTAAAGAAGCTAACAAACATGGAAAACACTGAAATTGCAAGAAGCCATAGATCTGCAACAAACACTGAATCACGCTCAAGTCACACTTCGCCATCTTATAGATTTTAGTCTTCAAAAATGAATTTCGCCGTATTGTTTAAGAAAAAGGAATTCATAGAAATCTCGAAATTAACACAGTACTTTCTATTCAGCTATTAATCCAAGTTAACATGCTGATCATTCAAGTACAGCAATTAGAAAGTCTTTGCAGTAATGGTTTAATTACATCTTTGCTTATCAGAATCATGGGGCAAGCGAGCACCAGTTACATTCGCACAAAAACTATAAGGATTTTCCACCCATCTTGCAGGGCAAATCTGCAAAAAGTGTCATTGTAACTGTTGTCACTGGCATCTCACAACCCCAACAGAAGAGACACCTGCACCAAATTTAGCAGCTGAAAATCTATGATCATGATCAACCCCAGCAGGAGTGTAGTAAAATCCCAGCAAAGCAAAAAGAAACATCTTACCTACAATATTGATATGCTGTGGACTCAGCTTCACTTCTTAAGTTTAGCAAGTTCGTCCAATGCTTCTTTGAGAGGTTCACTGAGCTTGCTTCTCTTACCCTAGGTTAAACCATAAGCTATAAATTAGCATTTCACTTATATTACAAGTAATAATAAATTTCATCGCCTTGGACGATTCAAATCAAGCAGACAAGAATAACAAGTTATATTATCATTTAAAAGGTACTAGACTGGTCATGCCTTTAGAGATGGCACAAGAGCAAAAACTTCATCCATGGATTCTGGACAGACATTTGCGATGACACATATCTGCAGCCAAAACTTTGCAACTAAGAAAGAAGCATGATTAATTAGAAATAAACTCAGGTTGAGACCAATACCTCGCTATTTGAGACACCATGTTTTGCGAGAGTTCTGAGATTTGAGTTAATGGTCCAAAAACAGATGGAACACAAAATTAATTCATGTAATTAGATTACACGTAAGAGGTCATCCATAAATAAAGTGCAAGACAAAAAAGTAAATAAAGGATACTCAAGAACTCGTCTGACAGATGGGGGATCGGTGTATTTGCTATGAGTCTCGGCATACTGCTGTCCTCTGTCAAATGATCTGAAAATAGATGATACATTAGAGCATGGCAAATAATCCTTCATTTCCACAATGGAAGTTGAGAACATATTACTCACTCAGGGAGTTTAATGGAAGGATCAGCAGAAAGTAGAACCATCTGTCCCTGGATGCCTTGTAATATATTTGTGGCCTCACAGTCCATCAAGCATTTCACATTTTCTGGTAGTTCTGCATATGATAGTGGGGATATTCCAAGTAAAATCTTTTTAAATGGATCTCAAAACCAAGAGAATATTTTACTAGCCAAATGATGAGCAGTTGAGAGAAACCAAAAAAAGTAATAAGCCTGATATTGCTTTAAGACTACAATAGAATATAAGTAAATAATACCTCTAAAACATACAGGGAGAAAAGAAAGCCAAACATATTTAAAGACTTGCAATAAAACTATAGTTCATTAAGACAAAGGAGCATAAAGTTAATAATAAGAGAGGGAGAGAGAGAGAATGAAATGTCAACAATAAGAAACATCTAGCAATCTCATACATACACTAAAGAAGTCTTTGAAACAAAATCACTTCTAGCTGAGGCAAGTACAAACCTTTCTCAACTTTGAGCTCTAATGGCTGTGCCTCTTTTGCCACAGGAGTCTTTCCACGATTTCCAGCCTTCCCATCAGATTTTGACGATGGCAAACTAAATCCCCTTCCATCAGATTTTGATGATGAAAAATTAAATGCAGGTTCAGGTGAACCTATATATAGAGATAGAACCATTAAGGAAGGAAAGCAACGATGGTAGCATTCAAAAAATTGATACCTTAAAGCTTTTCAACATTGTAGCATCATAGAATAATAAAAACTTAAAAACAAAAAAACCTTGAGAATCGAACTGAACTTTCCTTCCCCTCTTTGACTTTGCTGCACCGTCACCATTTCCTAGTTATACACAAGAAAGCAATTGGCTTTTTACAAACAACATTAAAATCAAAAAACGGGGAAACAAATCTAAATTGAGAATTAAGCGTAGCATCATTGCCACTGCATTACAAGTTATCAAAAGTGCAAAGTAGAGATCATTAGATGGTATGGTAAAGCAGCAACCTTTATCACACAAGCAGTACCTTAAATTGAACTGAAAATCCATAAAATCCAAACAGAAAAAAAGGAGAAACAAGAAAAGAAGCACAACCAAACCATCATGGGCTTTGGCTGCGGTGAACATGATAGATTGTTTGGTGGTTCTGATGAGCAGAGAAACCCATATTGGAATTTTGGTATGGCATTTTATTGAGGAAATGGTAAAGCATCAAAGTTCAATTCACGAGTAATAATGCCTCAAAGGGAACTCAAAATGCATACATCCAAACAAAAAGGAAAACAAAACACGAAAATATGGAAAATAAAACAAGATAAGAAGCAGAACCAAACCATCCTTGGCTTTGATAGAGGATTTGGGGGTTGTGGTGGGAAGGGAGAACCCTTTTCCTCCTTTTTCAGACATGGGTACACCTGTGTCGCCCTGCTACTCAAAATGAACAATGCTGCATGTGTGTATTAATATATCATCAAAACTTAAGTCAGTCAGTAAGTGAGTGAAGCCGTAGAAGGAAAACTATAAAAACAAAACACAGAAACCCAGATACGCAGTGGCCAAAAACACCCAAAAAAGAAAAAAAGAAAAAAAAAAAACCCAGATAGGCCCTGAAGAAACTAAACGAGAAAAAGAAAAGAGAAAACCCCAAAACAATTTTTCTTGAAAAAAAAGGAAGAAACTTGGAACAGGAGAAGAAAGCATTACCAGCGGAGGGAGGGCAGGAGAAGTTCGAGGGCGTTTGACTGTGAGTGCTTTTGATGAGTGCTCTTGTTTAATCTATGGACTTGGGGAAGATGCTCTCCTGGGCCTACCAGGGACTTAGGCCCACATTTCCAGACTGGGCCGAGTAATTCCTGCTGTGTTTTCCCACACTCCCACTAGTTCTCATGCAATAATTTTTCTTCCCTTTTTCTTCATTTGAGGGTCTGTTTGGTTGACGCCTGAAAACTGCTGCAGGGTGGGCTGTTCTACTAGTAAAATGGCTGGAAACTCCATCCAGGGAAGATGTTGCGGATGCTTGGTATGATTGCAGGGAATCCCTGGAAACCTAGCATGTTTAGTCAACTACAATCGACAATTTCTTTTTAAGTACTCAAAAAATGCTTTCACATATCAATTATGAATTGTGATGCAAGTAGCTGAGTACATTACGGGCTTCCAATTAGTGTTCACAAAACCGACAAGAGCTTCCAATTAACGTCCATGAAACCAACAAAAACTTGACCAATTTAGTATTTACCAACTTAAAAACCTTGATTTAGAGTTTATATTAAAAATTCAAACTTCTGTACCGTCAATAACTAATTGTCCGACGTACTAAAAAGTAATTAGTGTCCATAAAATGTTATGCATGACATTGCGAGTTGCATGCTGTAAATCACATTAAAAATTTGTGCTTCCTTGGAGTATCAGGTATCTTGCTTTCACAAGTGCCATTAAGCAAAACCAAACATTCCATCATTTCCATGCTTCTGTCTGTACATATTAATTTCCCTCTCTTTTCTTCAAATGAAGCAAACAAAAACAAACAAATAAATATTCTAAAAAAAAATACCCATTTTTTTCAAACTACAAAACTTTACCTATCCAAATTTCAAAAAAGAAAACTAACACATGGTCCGGTCTTTGAAACTGTAAACAGAAACTTAACATTCTGGCTAGCTTTGATTCTTTGCACACAGAAACGAAACAAGAACACATTGTCCATTGATCAAACATTGAAGCTCCAAACTCAGGTATCATCAACTTGTGAGTGAAATACAAAACTTGGGAAAGTTGTTGTGATGTCTCTGTTTCAACAAATCATCAAATCATATATTAGCAAGAAATTGAAAAGAATCAACTGGACGACGAGAAAGCTGAATTATTAACTCACTTGAGATATTGAAGAGTCATGTTCTTCAAGAGAGATGGATGCCGCAGGACAAGGTTTCGCCACTCTTCCTTGTCGATCTTCCCATCATGCTTGGTATCAGCTTCCTCAAAAGTCTAGCAAAAACAGCGACTCATGTGATAAATATACATTTCCAAAAGCACTTTTGATGGGTTCGATAATAAATTACCAATTCAATATTACCAACCACAGAAACAAGTAAACTGAAATAAAAAAATAACTGCATTGTAGTAACTGACATTACAAACTGACTGAATAAGCAATCTGTAAGTAATGTGTTAAGAAATCAGATAAAAAATAATGCAGAGGTATGGCTAGAACATATAGAGAAGACAGCCTCAATTGGTTAAAATACTGTTTAAGGACAGACCGAATACAATCCAGTTTGATGATGACTCAACAAACATCTTGAACCTATCAAATTAAGGAAGCACCTTGTCGATGATACTCTCAATTACATCATCCGAAAGATTCATACCAGATTCAGCTAGCGTGGCCACCACCATCTGCTTTACCTATACATTAAAAGTTGAATGGTCACAATTCTACAGAAAATAGAAATAGTGAACTTCTAAGAAATGTAGAAAGTTTTTGAAGTTGCTCTTTTCAAATTTGAGGTCAGCAAGCAATACAGGACAATATGATGTGGTTAGGCAGTGGGCAAGAGACACACATGTCATGAAAAGTGTGAATCTTGGTCTAGTATATATATATATTTTATCAAGACAGGACAGAGATCACATTAGGTTGATAACACTCCTCTGAGATAAATAAGAAAGGTCCTGAGACCTAGGCATCAAGGAAAACAGTGAGATAGCACAAATTAAATGATATGTTAAATGGAACTACAAGGTAGAAGCTACAAAGTTAAATAAGATACCTCCTGTCTCTCAATGAAACCCTGCTGTTTGAGATCATATAGCTGAAACGAAACTGCACAAACATCACAATTGGAAATACAGGTCAAAACATGATGAAGAGCAAAGAATAATAAAACAACAGTCAGGAGCTGATTCTTAAGAACATTGTCCACAATGGTGTCTATCATGATAGATACTGCATATATATTAAGGGTTTCTTCCTTTGGGCAAGTAAAAACAAAGAGAAACCATCACTATAGATACTGACTGCACTTACAATCAATTTTATCATCAATTGGAGCATTGGGGTGAAAGACAGAGAGAGCACGAGCAAACTCTTCAAAATCTAATATCCCATTATGCTTGGTGTCAAACAAGTCAAATACCTAGAAAAATTGAACAACAAAAGGGAATGTATCATGCAATTTCCTTAAATACATTAAGTTATGGGAATACATATTTGTAATCATAAATATACTGATGAGCAACTATCAAAAGTGCAAGGAAAATTGAGAAAGAAACCAACTGATGCTAAACAGTTAACAAAAAAAAAAAAAGATACCCGATCTGCGAATAAGCTTTCCTTTTTATTTGTCTTAAACAACGCCAATTGAAATTCGTCCTATACATTATTTGAATGACCAAATGTAAGCAATGGAATAAGTTACACCACATTTAGAGGCATAGCAAATTAAGAAAGATATTCTCTTTAAAAAGATATCCGCAATAAGAAATTGTTTAATTATTAAATCAAAGACTACAACATCCATTACCTTGTTGATGAGCCCATCATCAATTACTGCACTGCTGATCTTCTTAAACAGCTCGTAGAGAGCTTCAATTTCACTTACACTAACTGCACTTCAAGGAAAAAGGTAAATCATTACGTGTTAAATAAATGTCTAATCATTACATAAGCAAAATTCAAAGCAAATATGGAAAAATGCAACTTGTACTGAAATATTGTTCACAATTAATTAGCACAGTTAAGGCTTTCACTAATAAGTAAATACATTAAATTGGTTATAGAGAAAATAAGTCTAATGATTATTTTGAGAATTTTATTTTGCAGTGATTGTACATTAAGGAAACAACTACATTGATGCATTTTAGGTCACAAATTGTTCTTAAGCAGGAAATATATCAAAGAAAATAAACGTACACACTGTCTCTCTTGCAAGAGATTCAGGATCTTCAAGACCCTTGGGTTGCTTATATAAATCAGCATCACAACAATTAAAAAATGTAGCACACAAATGCTTTAATCCGTCTAGGCACTGCACCATGATCTTTTCCAGACATCAAAATAATCCATACCTGTACACAAGAAACACGGTTTAGAAACACAAGAACTTAATTTTAAGGTAAACCAGAGTAGTTCATCAGGCATAAACAGTAAAACTCTGTAACTTCCATGGCAGATCCAAGTAGCCTTGCAAAAGTTCTCAGAACTGAAATATTCAAAGACCCCAAGATCCTCTTTTTGATAAAATACTTAATATTATAGCATTATAACTTATTCCACATGCTTCACTAGAGAATTAGGAATAAAGCATACAAAAATATGCAATGAGCATTAAATTGTAAAGATTGTCCAAAAATTGAAGTAAAGAGCACCGACAATAAATCGACATCATGACAAAATGCAAAAAACAAATTGAACTCTAATAATACCATAGGAACTCTACAACTTCTTCTCAAACGCTTCTCAAACATGGCTGCTAGTGAGAGTCTGGTACTTCTCCACATTTTACCCATTTATTATCAAAAGCCGACAAAACAAGTGTCACTATTAATGTGGGCATGCAACCCTTATTCGATTATATTCCAACAAGCAATAGAGAGACCAAAACCAAATATCCTTTGTCGCGACGCACATTAATGAAAAAAGAAACACATTCGAATATTACAACATCATTCTGATACTCAGTTGCTGAGCAAATCCAATAAATCATTTGCTTCCCTGTCTCCACCAGAACGAAGAAGGTATAATGTAATGCAAAAATAGTAGTCAGTGGAAAAATAATACATGCATGCATGCAGCTTTTAACTTTACATTATTATGCTCCTTGCACGCTTAATGAAAATTAAAAAGCAACTACAGGGTACTTTTTTTTCATGTCAACAGTATGTCATAATTCTCTTAGAGTAACCAATTGAAACACTATTGCTTTACCTATAAAAGTAAACAACATCCCACGGAACTTAACATCTATATCTTAGGTAACTTCATTAGAATTAAACCCAGTCGTTTTTTTTATTACCCACTTAAAATGGGACCCGGAGTCCTGATAGCTAATGCAAACCTCCTACCACCCACATGTAACTCATCAATGACAGTTCAATTTCAGTATTGGGTTACAAGCTTTAGACTGAATGATCTCATTCCACTCAAATTCTTGGACATCACCATCATAACTACATCTTAATCAAAGGAACCAAACAGAAAGCCACCAGAACCAATGCATACAAAATCTAAAGAGAACCAGAAATTCCAATTATACAACACAACTACAAGTATACAAAATGGAACTTGACATGCAAGGTAAAACATAAACAGCTTCAGGCAGCAGCAAATTGATCAATGCATTATACATAAGGATCCATAAAACTTAAGTTTGTGATCAGAAAACCCAAATGCCACAGAGAAAAACTAAAATTGGGGCAAAAATCGTGCAATTGAAACAGATCAAGAGAAAAATTAGGGCTTTGAATGAAAACAAACAAATCTCCAACTGCAAAACAATACCCATCAACTGAAAGACTCATTCTATAAATCAGAGGAAAAAAAGAGAAAATGGGTAGCAGAAAGATTTTACCTTTCAGAAGAACAACAGAGGGGAAGATGAAGAAAACAAATGAAGGTTCTGAGACATTTTCTGACTGTTTTTTTTTTTTTTTTTCCTTTTGTACTTATACCTAGGGAAGTTGGGTTTTATTTGCCTACGGAAGTGAATGATTGTTTACCCAAAGAAAAAAAAAAAGAAACAAGAGAGATAAAACCTTGAGATAGAGAAGGGGAAAAGAAAAGGAGAAAGCTTTTATGGAGATAAGAGTTTAAAGAGAGAAGGAAACAGAGGCGTAAAAGAGAGAAATAGAGAGAGCATGGGAAATTACGAAACCAGGCAGTTGAAGATCTGTCCGGCCAATTTTGTAACGGAAACTCAACTCTGACATCAGTGTCTCACGCACGTGGCAGTTGCTAGCTTGGTTGTTATTGGTGGAATTGCTGACCCCATCTTCCGAGTTAGATAATTGTCACATTCTCAACTGTTAATATCACTGTTTTTTTAGTTATGATCATATATATTATTTAATTTATTAAGATTATTAATAATTATTAAATTTTTATTTTAATTTATTAATTAAAAATAATTTATAATTAATGTATTATTTAATATATTAAAATTATTTTATAAATAAATATATTTGAATGTCATGCTAATTATTTAAGAAAAAATCATAAATAAATCGGTATCCTTAACAATTTAGATGATAAAAGTAACCTAATCTCCTTTATGTGTAACTGATTGTTATGTTTTTACACTAAATCTTTCTTAAGTTAATTTTGAATTTATCTCAAACTAATTTTTAAAAAAATTTTAAGATAGATAAATATACTATTTTTTCATACTTTAATCATATTATTATCTATTTGCTTTAATTATTT